TGAGTTTGAAAGGAATGAAGATTTTGTCACAGAGCCAATGCAGTTCGATTCAGATGCAAATGCAGAGCCAATACAGTTCGATTCAGATGCAAATCATGAAAATCTCATTCATAGTCGATACAATCCTATTGGAGATGCTTATATGCTTGGCATTCGAAATAATATTGCTTTAACGTTTATGGAAATTTCGTGGGTAGTTAATGATTTTCTACATTCATATCTATAAAAAATATTATTAGTAATTCATATATCTATAAAAAAATAATTAATTATGAGATTAAAAAAAACTATACAAATGAACAAACAAATATAATATAAGTAGTGTTTTTTTTTATAAAAAAATAAGATAAGAGAACATATAAATGATGATAATAGAATTAATGTACTTTTGGTAATTTTAATTTTGAATCGCTTCCAAATAGTTTGTAAATCGTATTGCCGTTCAAGAATATTGGTAATCGCATCGCTCCCAAATTGTATCTCCATTCACAATTCTAACTAATCGCATCGCTCCCAAATCACATTGCTCCCGCACCTAAATCGCAATGCCATTCGGAGCCGTATTGAACTAAAGTCATGGCGTTTTCTGATTTATAGAGGAAACATTTTCAATCAAAATTGTTTTGTCGTGTTTTGGAATCGCATTTTTATACTTTTATGAGCGCTTCTGATTCTGATTCCAGTTATGATTTTGGATATTCAATGAACTTTATATGATTTGTAACAACAAACTACACAACAAATTGCTAAATATCGAAACCTCAAACAATGAAAAAATCACACCCCTGAATTATAATAGTCCATTATTTAATATTAGATAAACCGGTAGATGTGGAAACCTCAAACAATGAAGTTGGTTTAGGTATTCAGTTTATCCGTATGTGAAACACATTTTTATCACATGGCTTGCGGTTCGGGATAGACTTTCTACAGGTGCTCGTTCTCGGATTTGGGGAGTCATTCAGCCATGTCTATTGTGTGGAGATCCGAATGAGACGCGACCATATATTTTTCGCCTGTCCATTCTCCTCCATGCTATGGACCTTGCTCTGCTCTCGACTTCTCGGAAACAACTTCTCGCCAAGCTGGGACAGAACACTCTGTTCTCTTACTCGAAGTCGGAAGCAAAATCTAGACTGTTGTCTCACAAGAATAGCCTTCCAAGCAGCAGTTTATGGGATTTGGAGAGAGAGAAATGGTAGGAAGCATAACCTTCTTTCTCACACGCCTCTAGCTCTCGCTCGCATGATCGACGCCGAGGTTAAAAATCGTCTCACCTCCCTCTCAAGCCATAATGAAGACGTCACGGATATGTACCAAAGATGGCAGTCTTCATGCTTACTTCCAACGACGTGAGTTCCCAATCAGGCTGTGTTAGGTTAAGTGTGATTTCTCTATTTTTCAAATCTCATTCTAAAAACTAAGCGGCCAAAGTTGTAAATATTTTTTTTTCTTTGTTGGTCAATAAATTTCACATTTCAAAAAAAAAAACACACACACATTTTTATATAAGATAACTGCAAATTCATTTTCACACAAACAAATATAAAATTTCATACATTAATGCATTCAATATATATGGTCGATTATGTTGTTAATTTTACACTAATCATTTTATTCGCGCATATACTATCATTCCTAATAAAGCAATTAGAACAAGAACTTCTAGCTTGAATAAGTGGTAAGAGAAGTTAATAGGCTTTTAAAATCTACAAGGCAAAATATATGCTTTGCTTTCGACACAGGCCCATTAGTAACAAATCTGGCCCAAATATTTTTATATATTTGATCGCAATATTGAGCCACCATTAAACCCAAGAGTCTATAGCTTTCCCCGCAAGTCAAAACCCTTTCTCCTTCGCTCTTCCATGGCCACATTCACCGTCAACGGCCAGCTTCTCGCGGCGCCGTTGGGCTGCACCAAACGCCGTAATCACTCTCCCCTTTCTTCATCTCGCGAGCTCCGCTTCAACGCACCCTCCCCTCGCTTCCAACCCTTAAAATACTCTTCCAGCTCACCTAGTCGGAAACCAAACCTTTCTTCCAATGGTAATCTCCTTAACTCGTTACAGAAATCTCTCGCCGTCGGATCCGCTTTATCCGCCGCTTTTCTGTTTCTTCTCAGC